ACGGCCGCCGGCCGGCGGGGTCCGCCTCGTCCCTGAGCTCCTCCGAGATGTCGCTGTATGGCTCTTCCGAAGCGTCGCTCCCGAGCGTTACGGAAGAGTCCATATTCAGTTCTTCCCTGACTTCAGTCGCCAGCACACCCCAAGGGTCTCTGCAGGAGCTCGCCCCGACTTTGGAGACTCGCTCTCCTTCCCTGCTGGCCCCCGGGCTCCCCGCACCTAGCGACTGTCCCCACCTGCCCGCGCACGTGCCTCCTACGCCCGGCCTCCCCCCGTGCCTCTCGGCGCCCGGCCACCCCTGGATCTCCGTAGCTCTGCCTTCTGTCCCCTACTGTGGCCCTTCCCAAGGGGCTCCTCCGGCCACCAACAACGCCGGAGCGACCGTAGGAGCGCTCGCCGGGCTGCCCTGGGGAGCTCTGCCTCGACCGGCCCCGCCTCCGGGCGGTCCCAGAGCGCCCGCGCCCTGGTCCGCCCCGATCCCGGGGCCCGGCTCCCCCGGGGCATCTATGGGCAGACCGGCTCCGCCCCCGAGCGCTAGGCGAGGGTCAGTGGAAGGGATCGCCCCGCCCTTTGCTGTCCCTACTCTTAAATCTACGCCTGAGAGGAATCTCAACCAAAGCATGGCGAGCCCGGAGAAAGCAAGTGCTGCAGGCCACATGTTCGACGTAGTGGTGATAGGAGGCGGCATTTCAGGTTAGTGTGGACAATAGTGGTGGCCCGAGAGAGCCTGGCTGGCCCGGGAGCAGGGTCGTGCAGTATCGTTGTGGTGTTTCTAGGGGGCTCTTCTGCAAGTGAGAGTGTGACAGTGGCCAGGCTCCAGATCTTTCGAAGTGGGAGTGGAGGTTGGGTCACTTTTGCTGTTGGTGTGAACAGGGGTGGGGGGAGGCAATAGTTTTACTCCTATTAAATACTAATATTTGATTAGCTCTTGCTGTGTGGTTCCATTTAACACTTTATGTGGATTTTCTCAGTTCCCAACAGTCCTGTGAAAGTGTCAGATTTGCCCCCCCCCCCCCCCCCCGTTTCAAAACCAAGCAACCGAAGTCTGGGGGAGTTTCAATAACTCTTCTGAGGTTAGTTGCCTAACTGGGAAGTGTCTCAACAATTTTCTCTCATTTAAGACCCTGACTCGGGCTGCTTTGGCTCACTAGTTTCCCATTCCTTTCCCTGAGTCGAACATAAGCATGCAGATTTTTGTACTAATGAGGTAGTAATAATATTAGTCTAGTTCTACTATTCTCCAAGGTAGTTTTCCTAGGAAAATGTGGTAGGTGATGAGCAAGGAGGTAGAATCCTTTAGTAAAAAGTAAAATTTAAAAAAATGAAAATTTTTAAAGAATGGTGAGCTCTAATTTCAGCCGACTCCTGCCAGTTTTCTCAACTTGCGGGAAAGTGTAAGGCATTTTTGCCCAAACGGAATTCTTTTATGAAGCAAGGTTGAGGGCAAGTCAGGGAGTGCCCGGTTGTGTCCTTGCACTAAGAGCTCCTCTACTACCTGCATTTTGTCTGCTGGTCCTGGCTTGGGTTTATAGCTGTGAAGCTCTTCAGTATCTTCCTGAAGCCTCAATCTGATGGATAAATTGCCACATATGTTGTGATAATTGTTAAAATGTTTGAAATTTAGGAATTGCATCGTGTTTCAGCCCTCCATAGAATCACATACTGACTTATCTCTTTCTTTCCAGGTATTAATCATTTTAGAGAGATACCTGCAGGATCTGATTTAGAAAGAGAAAGAAGAGGGAAATAGTAAATAGAGTGGCCCTGCAGTAATCATTTTTATATATTATCCTTTTGAGGAGACTGACCATGCTTATAAATTAATTTTGGAAACAGGTTTTGGTTTGTCCTGTTCACAATAAACAGTGTTTAACCGCCAGAGAAAAGGTTGGCATGCACTGTTGGCTTTGACAGCTCCAACCAGTGCCAGGAAAAACAAGCACATCCTGGAGAAGAGTAAGAAAATGGAATGTTTCTCTTGTTTCCCTTCTTTCTTTTATTTATTCATTTAACAAACACTTGTTGCGTGCCTGAAATGAAGTAGATTGGTGTTTCCAAAAACCTGGTCCTTCTAGGCGAGAATCTTAGGAGCAATTTGATTGTTGATCACTGGAAAATAAATATGATCATATGTAGTGTAAATTATTAGGAGTTCTGTCTCCTTTTATCACTATGCTGCAATTCAGGGGTCTTTCTGAAATTTTATTCTTGTCCTTTTTTTGGTATGTCTCTGGTATTCTATAATGAGTTTTGTCTTGTATTTTTCATCTGCTTGATTACCTGCTGTTTTTTTTCATGCACTTGACTTCTAATACTTGGTCATTAGTAGAGATAGATGTAGTATGTAGGTATGAATCTTATGCTTTATGGCCTGACAACTTTAGCTCTCTTCTGATTCTCATTCTAAATAATATTTAGTTCCATACTGAATTTTGTATTCACAGTTTTGCTTTCTTAAATCTTAAAGAGGGCATCCAAATTATATAAGGACCCACAAAACTTGGATCTGTCCATGGTCATTATTATTATTTGTTCATTTCCATTTGGAGGAAGTAGAGGGCATTTTCTGCATGGTAGTACATACTGTAATTCCAAAAGCCAGTCTATCAGTAATAGTGGAAAAAGAACTTGACTTCCTAATGTCCTCTCATCAGTCAGATCTAAGTGCTTTTAATACTAAAACTGACTAGAAACATTTCTTTCTGTCTGTGGTGCCTTCCCAGCTGGCTGACATCTAAAAGTAGATGCATGTGTGTTTCATGTTAGGTCCTATGCATAAACTAAGCATTTCAGGAGTGGGTGAAAGCCATTATTTCTCAAGCATTCTTGTGAAGTCCAAAACACATCTTTGTGTGTGTGCTTGGCCTTATCCCATGAGTTACTTAATAGTTCCTGTATCAGTTTTAAATGCCTTTGGATATTCCTTGTAACTTTTTGTCAGGAATTGCACACTTTGATATAGTACCCACACATTTTATAATATATGGCCAGTACTTTGCATCTGCAGTATTATTCTTATAATATACCTTCTAAAGAGAACATATTCTAAATGATAGTACTCCAAATCAGTCGACATTAACAGAATTATAACTATCTTTGCACAAAGAATAGCAGAGTTTTGATATATCTCCTTTTTTGTCGTCAAAAACGTGAAACAGCACACTTACAGCCACAAAGCCCTTTTTCTGTCCTCCGACCTATTAAATAATTTTATATAGCAGTTGAGAGGGGAAGTAATCCTGCTCATTTATTAATATAGCAGTTTCTTTAACATATCCTGGCTCCTACCCATCATCATCTATCATCTATCACCCATTTATTTTTTGAAATCTTTTTATGTTTCCTGTGACACTATTGGATCTGGAATTTTTATCCCATACTCATTGTTTCTTTTCCTTTTCTTCCACTGAGCTCATATTCTTTTTGAACTTGTAGTTTTGAAATGGCCTCAAGGTTTTCCTGTTCAGCACTTTTGGGCTCTTAAACATTCTTTCTCTCTCTTTCTTATTCTAGAACTTCAGTGTCCTTTTATCTATAGAAAGTTCTCAAGGTCTAATTTGAATCCCTTTCTTTCTCTGAATTCCTGTCCCATAACTTATCTGCTCCTAGATATTTCAAACTTAACACTGAAGATTTAATATGTCCAAAAGCTTCTCTTTCTCAGTTCCTTGACTTTTCTTGGTATGATCAACCTTTTCATCATTTTAAACACATCCTTTTCTTTCATCTTCTACCCTCCCTTTTTGTAGTGCTGGGGATCAAACCCAGTGCATTGAAATGCTAAGCACATAATCTAGCACTGAGCTACAGCCCCAGATCTGCTTCACTCCTTTAACAGATCTTTCTACTTTCTCTTTTGAGCTGTTCTTTTGCCTCCCCACTGACTACTTCTCTGCCCCCATGCCCAGGACAGACTTTGACCTCTGATTATGACACCTTCCCAGTGCCCTCCTCCCTTTATATTAGTGGCTTTCCTTCACATCCATCTTGCATGCAGTATTCTTCCAGACTTGATTTACCTTAAATACATCTTTCCTTTTTTACTTCTTTTCTGCTCAGGGCCTTCATTGTTCTCCTATTACCTCTCTCAAGCTCCCTCTTCCTGCTCCCAGTTATGGAGCTTTATTTTGTTGGACTAGTAGCATTTCCCACTCTTCTCTGACATGGACTTGAGCTTTACTCACGATACTTCTTGTCCTAGTGCCACACTGTTTATTTTGTCTTTCATGCCTTCCTTTTTTCATCTTTCTTAACAAGGAAATATTTCTCTCTGACCATTTACATCCAGTTCATCCTGCAGTAGGTAGATAAAGATCCTTTCCTTGATCATTCTGGCTTCCACTGATTTGTCTCCTCTGTTGTAGAGCTCATAATACCTATTTTACAATTTGTACTTATTTTCTGCCTATTTCTTGATTTTTCTTTTAAGGACAGTAGTTGAACCACTAACTTTAGATGCTACTTTTCTTTTTCTTATAAGCTGCCACAGGTAGAACAAATGACAGAAAACCTATGATGGAAGATTTTAACATCTGTTCTTAACCGAGAATTTCTGAAATGGTTCTCTTTAGAGAGATAATAAGGAAAAAAGAAGCCTATCTCCAAGGGACACTGCATAGATCCTTCATGGGACTGTTTGGAATTTCAGAGTCTTTGGCCAATGGAGTTTTAAAAGGCAACCTCGTACATTTACCTAAGATTTTAATCTTTCTGACAGCATCTGATTGTAGCTCTGAACGCATCTAAGGGAAGGGAATGCTCTATCACTCAAAAAAGCTCATAATGAGTAGAGATAGCTCTAGCCTCTGTGTTTGCTCAAGCATTTTAGAGTCTCTACCATATATGTTAGGCAGTGGCTAGATCATAGGCATAAGGTATGTAAAGAGGAGTAGGTAGCATCCCTGTCCAGAAGACGCCTCTATCCTTTCAGAAGTAATCAAGTAAGCAAGTAATTGACAGGGATACAGTGAAATAAATATTAATATTATGGATATGAACAAAGTTCTGGGATCTTGAAAGAGAAAGGGTTTTATTTTTTTTTTTGTAGGAAAATATCAATGGCTGCTGTAATACATGGTGGTATCTTCAGAGTGGTTTCTCAGGAAGACAGAGATATGTAAGAGGGACCTATTAACTAGTTACAGCCTAAGGGTTGTCAAAAATAGCATATTACCTCCTCACCAGTGACTCCTTTCACTGAGGTATGATGGCTGGAAGGAAGGCCAGGAT